GTGTGTGTGGTTTCTTTTACACCCCCATCGACACAATTTAGATTATTTAGGAATCAGGGTTCGACCCTGCCTGTGAGAGCTAACCCGGGCTGAGAGGGATACAACATTCCAGCACAAAGAACGATAGATACTCGATACAAATTCTTCCCACTCAATAATCTAACTCGGTCTCCTGCATGCTATGCCAAAAAGCGCCTAATCACTGCACCACACACCCCGGGCTATTTTTTTTTCAAGGAGTTCGGGTTTTCTCCCATCAAAGTTTGGTACTTTTTGTAACTAAATAATAATAAGAAAAATAAATAAATTACCTTTTATTGATACCCGTGAGGAAATCTGAGTCACAATGGCAAACATACATACATAAATACATATTCAAACACACAAACATGCATACAAAGTATACCAAATACACTACATTACCCAAAAATCAAAACGAACCAAAAGGATCTTTGCTGAGGTTTTTTTCCCCCTGATACATTGTAGGGTGGTTAGCTTGTGCTCTTGTGTGTTTTGCTCCTTCTTTTCTATCAAACTCCTGTCTTCTTTATAAATCTTTCCTCCTTCTTTTCTTTGTTTGTTACTCTCTAGTAATACCTCTTAATTAACTTATACGACCTATGTGTGTTGCAAGTGCCGTAAAACCTTTTTGTGTACCTCTCTGCCCCCAGACTGTTCGCGCTGTCCCTCTGTCCCTCCCACTCAGAGTTCTCGCCGGCCGACTCCGACGTCATAGATGACCGTTGCAGCGTCACTTCTGTCTTCGATGACTTCCTGCCCTCTACCGGAAGCGCGTCATTAGAGCGGCGCATGAGCGCTTCTCGCTCCCCGTCTTCCGGCGGAACCGGAAGTCGTAAACTGGTGCGGCGAGTGTTCACCAACACCCGAGAGCGGTGGAGACAGCAGAACGTGAACGGCGCCTTCTGCGAGTTGAGGAAACTCGTCCCCACGCACCCGCCCGACAAGAAGCTCAGCAAGAACGAAATCCTCCGTCTGGCAATTCGCTACATCGACCTGCTCAACAACGTGCTGGACTTCCAGCAGAAGGAGGAGGCAGACGACACGTGAGTGGTGGGAACTGACAGACAGACTTCTGCGGGCTCTCACAGCTAAGTGCGCGAATCTCTCACGTGATATCTGGACGGACGGAGGGCAATCTCTACAGACAGTGAAAGTGAAAGTGAAACAGGGGAGAACCGAAATGTCGTTTCTTCGGAGACTGTTGAGAATTTCTTGAAAAGAAAAGAAATCAGATGAGGTAGTGCTTGAAGAAGCTCACGCTTGCCGCTCGCTGATGAAAACAATTTGGACGAGGCAAATGTAGTTTCTGAGACACTTAAGCAGACATAAGGGCCTTGAACATCCGCTCTCAGTAGTAAAAGTGAAGGTAAACAAGGCAGTGTTTTACCCGGAGCATCAGAGCATTTAACATGAAGAGCCTAAACAGATGGGGGACGGGGAAAGATCAGGATAAAATTGCTTTTTTAAGCATTCGATCAAAAAAATAAATGGCGAACCATGATCGCTGATGTTTGTCGCAGATTTGGCACTTGATGATAACATGGAAGTGAAATTTCAACAACGATTTGTTTCCCAAACTGTTCTAGAAATAATAATAATAATAATAATAATAATAATAATAATAATAATCAATGGTAGTTATATTGCGCATATCCCTTCTCAACAACAAGCTATAATATGCGCTTTGCAACCTAATCATTACCCCCAACAGACCCTAGATCACTCAGAAACATTCTCGGCTACCCGGGAAGCATACAGTGCAAGCAGCCACTTAAGCGCTGAAACCCTTCTTTTATAAATTGGCAAGATCTTTCGCTGTCTATAGCCGGGTGTATATTCCCATCTGGGTGAAAAGAGGAAAATTCATTTAAAGTGACTTTTCCAAGAATACAACGCGGGCCCCTAACGGGGTTCGAACCCACAACCTTTCGGTTGCAAGCCCAAAAGCCTAACCACTCTACCGCCGATGTCACAAACCCTGAGAAAACAACTTCCTGATACAGATGAGCAGACGTGGGCACAGAGGGCAAGCTACGCCACTCTCCTACAGAATCTTCCACGGAACTGTTACACTACAAGAAGGGAGAACTCCTACAGAATCTTCCATGTGACTGCTACAGAATATATCATTAAGAGAGGAGAACTCCGGTGAAAACATTCAGAACTTGTCCCGAACTGTCCTGGAAAAGACTTGAATGTTACTTTATTTGAAAGTTACTTTTTGCCATAAAGACCCGAGTGTTACTTTCCCTCATCAACTTGCTCAAACTCCACGAGGTCATACAACCCCACGATCAAATGAAGTCATAAGACCAGGAGATGTATATTGTGATTGCATGATGAACACATCCTGAATACATTATGAACACACAGTGAACTCGATACGATCTTGTAGATTTTTTTTAAAATGTAACTGGGGTTTTTTCCCCCTTCAAAACTATTTAGATTAAAATTCAAGAGGCGGGCTTCCGACCCTGCCTGTCAGGGCCAGCACGGGCTACTCGATAAAAAAAAGTCCGTCCTCTTGGGAATCGAACTTGGTTCTCCGGCATAGTAGAGAATCTCACAACAGAGGGGAGGGGGGATCGTGTTATAATGTGCCATATACAGATATATATA